AGGAGGCGGTCGACCAGCTGACCGTCTCTAGCGATTTGCCAACCAGCTTATCGATTTTTCACCAACTTCGCTCCAATGCGAAAGTGGTGAACGGCAATTAGATTTCGTAGTCAGCCTAGCAAGGGGCGGAGGGCGACCGTGGCTCACTCTCCGGCCCCTTATTGTGCCCTATCCAGACCGTTTTCCGACCTCATTCCTGCACAATTGGTATCAGAGGGGGCGTCGAATACAAACCATGTGCAAATCTCCGAAACCATTTTTTCGTGAACTGTGCCTTTAACTCGCGTCATATAAGACTATCATATTAATCTGTCTGCCCATTAAAAAAGCTGCTCGTTTTTACGAGATTGGCTCATCAGTAACCCTACATTTCATCGACTCTCCTACCGTATTCCCCACAAAAACTGGCAACTCGTCCATTTTTTTGTGTTCTGAGCCGAGCACGTTTTTGCTCCTCTTGGTTTTGGCAGCACCGTAAGATAGTGAAGTTCCTCGTCCACTAATCATGTGCGAGCTCAATCTACATAAACATTTTTATTGAGTATTAAAAAAAATCCAGGAAATTTGAAAAATGGAAGTCAATAAATTCTGCTATTATGAAAAATCACATCTAAATGCATCACAGAGAACTGATCGTACTGTAACTATAATACAACAGCATACGGTGTAGCCGTTCTTTCCTAATTTTTGAAACTTTGTGTCAAAATACTGAATTCAATGAGCATAGGGCAATGAAAAGTGAATTCCTTCCACCACAAATTAAAATAGTCCATCAATCAACTCTGTAACTGGATCTATAGTGATGTCGAAGAAGCATGGGCGGGTACTGAGGCCTGGCATCATCATCATTTCACCGACCAGGGGTGTCACAAAACCGGCACCAACTGATGGGCGAATGTCCCGAATAGGTAGCGTAAAGTCTGAAATATTCAGGCGAGATAGTTCCCTATCACAGATTCTTAAACGGGGTCCAAATCATATAGGTCCTTTTTCATCGATCTGCTCGGATACAAGCGCAAGTACAGGGCAATTGCCTCACTATAGCATAACCTCCCATCCGCTACAATGATGCATATGTAGCCCATAACGTGAAGGCACAGTCCACGATAAAGTCGGGATATCTAGTTCGGGACGAATAATGGAAGTGTTAGTTCCGCATAGGGTGAAAATGGAGAAAAAACGGCGAAATTCGGCTCATTGAAAGAAGTATGAGGCTACAAAAAATTGTAAAATAAGGGATTGGACGAGGAGGTGACGACAAAAGTTGCATGGAAGGACTGCCTGAATCTTCGTGCCATTGCGTACACCCGGCTACCGTAGGTGCCTGCAACTTATCTATCTCACTGCGAATGGTGCAACCTCTACAGCCAACCAGCTTAGCCGACGAACGCACCCAGGGCACGAGTTTTCACGGCGTTGTAAACAACCTCACTACGCCTTATCTATGCCATTTTTCGACTCGACAGCTTTCTCTGTGCTACCCACTCTGTGGNCACAGGTTTACCCTAGGGTGGAATCTCAGAACCATTTTTACTGGAACTGTGCCTTCGAATTATAGCAAGTACTTCTGAAGACTTCTAGTAATTTACTTGAAAGTGCTCATGAGTTACATTATGCTCCTAGTTTCTTTCAATAGAAGTGCCAAACAGTGGGTATTGCTAATAGAATGACCGAAACGACATACTTTTTGGTGCTCCTTTTTTAGTGGGATCATGTGACAATGACAAATGGGTCTTGGCCATACATATAGGCAAGTCCCCGAATCCTTGTTCTTCGTAGCGTTTCACCTTCTGAAATGGCCGGCGATAACGGTAAAATTTGGATAATTCCAAAGAAAGCATAAAGGCATAACCATAAAAACACTTGAAAATTTCATTCATTAATTCATTTTATTTTGTCAACACTTATATTGTGTTTCAATTCAAAAACGATGAAGTCATTACCTCCATGGCTTCACTGGAAAGTTCAATTCCATCTGCACCATATATTTCACAGGCAATACGGACTATTTTTAGTTCAAGTGACATATTCAATGGGTACAGAAATCTGAAAAAAAAACTTTAATAGTAATATAATATCCTGCTCGGAATAAGGTTTACACACATACCGTTCTTGGATTTTTCAACCCCCATGTTTTCATCAGGAAAGCTCAGAACACCCCAGATATCTTTTGGGTTTGCCCCTCACTTATACTGCTTACATACATCAGAATTGGGTGCGCTCCGTGCGTGCATCCGTCGAAACTAGGTCATGCCGCAGCCGTCGCATGCGGCGGGTCAGCCCGCGATACTTGACAGATGTCGCAGTTGTCAGTGGGGCATACAATTAGCGTTTGGTCCACGGCAGTGAGCCAAACAGAAGATAACATGGACAAATGCAGGTCATTCGCTCCACTGACACTTGGTGATACTGTAATATCATATCAGACCTCAGTGGGGTGCGCCACGCGCGAAGTGGGTGGGGTGACCTACATTCGACGGACGCGCGCAACGGACATTCCCTCAGATCATTGGTCGCAGTGTTGTGCGGAGGGAAGGAGTACTGCTTACCAGAGCATTGGTTACTCCATTTATGAATGCTCTTCAAAATTATTCTTGAAACTCGTCTGGCAGAAATGCAAGACTAATGACGGGACATCTAAGTTGGGCAAGATCGGCCACCTCACTGCCTTCTCGCCTTTTTCACTGCCTCGCAACCCTGGTTCACCTAAGACAGTGGGATGCGTGGCTTTCGGCCTTGGAGTGTGACTTTCTGTGTCATCACCAGTAGTTGAGGATGGGCAAGGTGTAAGATTATGTTTCGATTTAAATTTCGAATGAGTAGTTTTTGTATGAGAAAAGTCAAAGTGGAACCAAGACCCATGAGTTACAGTAACAAGTATAAAGGCCACTAACGTTACTGAAGCCATTTTCGGGATGTGCCCTTGTACTCACCCTTTTTTCAGAAATTTAGGGGCGTTTGAATGCTAGGTGATTCATGTGGCATTTATGGGAGGGAGAGAAGACTTCATTTGATCCCTAGACCATACATGTGCCACTGCTCCACTTGTCACTGCACCATCTACCATCCCACCCTAGCATGCATTGTAATCATGGGTTCGAAAGTCGACGTAACCGTTTTGTTTGCACCACACCCTGCTGGGTTTTCTACAAAATCCACCGACGCTGTGCTAGTTGTCGTATAATCTACTTAGCGATGTTCTCAAGAAAAGGGAAACGCGAGCAAGTGTGAGCAATTCACTAGGGCACTTCAAAAGATCGTTGCTTACTTGAAATCGGAAGGACATTCAGTTGTAACATCGACAACAGCTTGAGCTAGTTGAACCGCACCTGCTCCACCCATCGACCAATGGCTCGACGATACCGCCTTCTTAGCTCCATATGAAAGTGCCTAGATAGGAAACAATTACAGAAAATAAAGCTAAATTTGAGTTTGAGCCGAATTTCACCTTTTTCAAAACCACTTTCATCTCGCGTTCCGTGTCGGT